GAATGGAGTATGGTGCTGGTGGTTGTTGTGGGCGTGTGGCATGGAGAGAGGAATGGTTGCAATGTTGGAAGTGGTTACTTTTTGCAGGCATTATTGCGGGACAGATGTGTTTGGCAGAGCCAGAAGCATATTTTGTGATCCATCTATCTAAATTTTCCACCCCTGCCGTTTTTCGAAATCATGTGGGAACACCAGCATGCACAGTGTTGCAACCTAAAAGCCTCTAGGTCTTTGTGACAACATCAGGACCAGGATCTGCAGCCCTGGGTGACCACCTAGTGACTGGCCTTCTTTCTTTCCCAGCTGGAGAGTAGGGTTTGAGTTGTCTCATGTGGCTGCGGGCCTTCAGGATGGCATTCATGCACGCTTGTGGGACATACCTGGAGGCCCTGTGTTGGTGGGGTTCAGTATCGGTGTAATGCTTCAGTACTTGGAATGTATTGGGAGGAAGAGCAACTTTGACTACCAGGAGTGTTTCAACGTTGTCAGTCCTGGGGTCCTGGGCTGTGAGTATTTTAAACTAAGTATTAGGCAAGAGAGCAAATGTGCTGTATGCCTGAACTCCTCAAGAATTTTCCAGTTTGGAAGAGAGTGAGGAAAAGTGGAGTAGAGGAAGTGGTGAGAAGAAGGTTGAGGGCAGATCACACACATTGTCAGAGTATTAGCTTTACTCTGCAGGGAAAGAGAAATCACCATGTGCTTCTCGAGTTCAGGAAGGATGTGGTATGGCTTGATTTTAAAAGGATGCTTCTTCATGCTGTGTTGAGAACAGACTGGAGTATAGCAAGTATAGAAGAGAGAAGGCTATTGCAGCAGCCCAGCTTTCCAAAGCTATTTGTCTGTGCAAGAGTTGAGTGTAGAGTACATTAGAAGTGTTCGATTCTAGGTTACATAGAATCACCAGGTGAGACAATTTTCCTAACTGACTTGATATGGTAACAAAAATGAAACGGGAGACTGGTTGATCCTAAGATTGGTTTTTTTAAAAATTGCCAATATTACAAGGGGGGTTTTGTACCACTTAAAAAGAAAACACTTAATATTTTAAAACTGATCAATGCTTTGGGGTTGGAGAGACAACACAGGGGTTAAGAGCACTTGTTGCTCTTTCAGAGTTCAATTCCCAGCACCTTGTGAGAAGGTTCACAACTGCCTGTAACTCCTGTTATGATCTGACACCCCCCACCTCAGGATAGCCGTAGCCATTTTGTTCCATGCCTGCAAGTGAAATAGCCTGCTGGTCACTGACACAGAGAAGTGACTGGGCTCAAGGACATGGCTGGCCACACATCCTGGTTTTGTTCTGTATGTTCTGTATGAGGTTTGCTAATATTAAGACATTTCACAAAGCTTTACATAGGATCCACCAAATCAAAGGTCAATATGAACTGTTGTGCCTAAAACAGCTTGAGTCAGAGCTGACCGCTGGACAACTCTTTCTGGTATAAACTCTGGTTTTTGTGGGTGACGCTGAAGAATTCTACTAATAAGCTAAAAGATTATAATATCTATGCTCTGTTATCTCAGTGCTCTGAATTTCCCCTATTCACCACACACCCACCTGTCTCAGTACTTTGTCTAGTGAGCCAACCTGGTTTTCCTATAAAAAGTCTACTCTGAGGGCAGACTAGTGCCACAGTTAGGTTTTTCCTTCCTGTGAACCTGGACGTCCAGTATCATGATGTGTGTTCAATAAACTATTCTTGCTTAACTGAGATGCTGTATGTATGGTTTAAGTGGTGAATTCCTGAACCCCAACCCTCCAGCTCCAAGGGATCCAACACTCTTTTCTGGACCCCCAGGCACCTGTAGTCACATGCTTATATGCACACACAAACACCCATGTATAAATAACTTTAAAATAAGTATCATGAAAGCAACCAGTTTCTTACTTTCTATTCAGAGTTAATTAGGGTAAATTGAACATTCTAGCTTAGACTTTCCTGCTTCTTCAGTCAGAGAATGGTATGTGAAACCTAAGGAGATCTGAATGTTGGAAGGATAAAAGTGGGATTAAGGGACTGATGCTTCTTGTGTTGGCAGACATAAAATGAGGAAAGACAGCGCTGTACAGAGATAAGAAAATGCCAGAGAAGTAATGAGCGTTGTTATACAGAACACAGTAGTTATCAAGGGCTCCCTCGGTCCCTGTAAGCAGAGATTACTGTCAGTCCTGCATTTGTTAACCCCAACTGACAAAGCTAAGGTGGTCCAGAAATTACCCGTTACCCCATACACATCATCTATTTTAATGCCTTAAGCCAGTTGCCGTAGAAATGCTGGGTGCTTTGAGGTTTCAGCCCAGTGCACAAGGATGAGCTTGCTTATTTCTTTGGGAAATTAGGAGTTTTCTAAATCATGTTTTTCCTCTACACATTTGATATATTGTATATGTAGTAGCCACCACCCTTAAAGTACTTAAAATTGAGACTAAATTGAAATATGTTCAAGGTAAAACAATATGTCGCCAGGCGGTGGTGGCACTCGCCTTTAATCCCAGCACTTGGGAGGCAGAGGCAGGCGGATTTTTTAGTTTGAAAGTTCGAGACTAGCCTGATCTACAGAGTGAGTTCCAGGACAGCCAGGGCTACACAGAGAAACCCTGTCTCGAAAAACCAAACCAAAAAACAAACAAACAAACAATATGTCAGCTTTTGGAAATTAAAAGCTGTGAAACCTGAAACATTGAAACAAAGATTGTGCGGAATTAACAGTTCTGCAGCAGAGACTAGCCTGAAACAGGACAAAATGAATGCACAGTTCCAGGAAAGATTACCAAACAGCAGATTAAAACCTACAGAAGGATTCTGTTACTTAACAACTATCTATGCGCCGAGCAGTGGTGGCGAACGACTTTCATCCCAGCACTTGGGAGGCAAAGGCAGGTGGATTTCTGAGTTCGAGGCCAGCCTGGTCTACAGAGTGAGTTCCAGGACAGTCAAGGCTATACAGAGAAACCCTGTCTCAAAAAACACAAAAAAACAAAAACAACAACAACAAAAAATCCAGGTAGATAGTATCAGAACTGAGTTAAAATTGTAGGAATCCCAGATGGTGTTGGAGAACTGTTTGGTATGGAAACTACTCCCCAGATATTTGATGTCAGAACTGTGTAGACGATGAAAATATAGACAAAAACAGTTTGCTTTTTGTTTACAATTATTTTATTTATCTACTTAAATTTATTTTATTTAGTGTGTGTGTGTGTGTGTGTGTGTGTGTGTGTGTGAATGTGTGTGTGTTGGGGATTGGTTTTAATGTTTTGCCTTATTTCAACTCCCAAAAGCCCTGCTTCCAGATCTGAGGGTCTCTGCCCACAACTGGTTTGGATTGGTAATAAAGAATTGTTGTATAGCCAATGGCTGGGCAGGGAGAAGGAGTTGGGGCTTTTTGATTGTGCAGGCAAGGGACAGAGAGAGGGGAGGAAGAGGAGAATCGCCATAACTCAGAGGGAAAGGGATCAGATTTAAGAGCTGCAGGAGAAAAATCATTCTGCCATGTAGGTGGAAAGGAAAAGCAGCCCTATGAGGTGCGGGGGTTGGGGGAGAGTGCCCAGAAGGTGACAGGGCAGCAAAGATAAAATATAGATTTAGAAGGTATTAAGCCAGGAATACTGGAGGGGATCCTATGCTAGCTGTGGGGAGGTTTAGAAGTGAGTTAGTCAAAGCATATCAAAATTAGTTGGGGTGTGTGTGTGTGTGTTTTCAGAGGATAGAGGAAATCAGTACTCTCCAACAACCATGTAAGTTCTAGAGGTGGCAGGCTGGTCATCAGACCTGTCGTAAGTGCCTTTACCTACTGAGCCAAGTTGCCAGCTCTCATTTTCCTCTTCTGAATAGCATTTATGCTATTACAATTTCTTTATTGACCAATTTATTTCTTCTACTTAAAAACTTTTTTTTGCTCTGGGCCTGGTGACACACATGCCTTTAATCGAAGTACTTAGGTGTCAGAGGCAAGCTAATCTCTGTGAGCTCAAGGGTAGCCTGGTCTATATAGTGCTTTTCAGGACAGTCTGGGCTACATAGAGAGACAGTTCTCAAAAATCAAAACAAAACAACACTCACCCCCCAAACAACTTCCTTATGTGTGTGGAGGGCAAGGACAGACACTTGCATATAGGATAGAGACCTTCTTGGGCTTATTTCTTCAGACAATAATAATAATAATAATCGTCTAATGTTGTTTCCTTCAATTTTACCTGTTTAGAAGATCTGTTTATCTCACCTAGGTCAAAGTTTCTTTGCTGAAGCTGCCTTGAGACTTTCTGTATTAGCTGTGAGGCAGCTCAGGAACTTATAAGAGCAGCGTCGAATCAAGGCTCCCGACAGTGAACAGAGGCTCCCTCCTCTGCTTTCTAGGCTTTCCCCAGTTTCCTCACAGCAAAACAGTAACTTGGGGTTTCCCCAAGGATACAAGAAGGGGCTCCATGTAGACGTGATGTGTATCAAGCAGAGTCCACATCTTGTTTAACTTGGTATTGTTAAGTTAGCAGAAACAGAGTCTGCTGACCCGAGCGGTTAAGCAAGACAGTTCATTTCCTTCCTCTTCTTGTAGTTCATCTCCTAAACCTCATCAGACGCTGACCCAGTTCTTGAATGACTTCGGAGACCCAGATGTTTCAGAATGCACATTCTGGAAGCCAATGGCTATTGACAATTCTGCTGCTGTTTGGTGAGTACAGATCTTTCTGAAATACAATAATTTCAGCCTCTCCTACTGTCTGGACTCCAGACATCAGGGGAGTAAGCAGTGGGCCTGGTTTAGAAACCAGGGAGAGATTAAAAAGGCAAGAGCCCAATGTCTGGTGGTACTTGATTGTAATCCTAGCACTTCAGTGTAGTGAATCAGGAGAATCAGGAGTTCAAGGTTAGCTTCAACTATAGTGAGTTCCAATTCCAGGCCAACCTGGCTTTGTGAGACCCTGTCAAGAGGCTTCTAGAGCTGGGTGTGGTGATGCATGTTTTAGTCTTAGCCGTTAGGAGACACAGGCAAGTGGTTAGTCTGGTTGACTAACAACAACAACAACAGAGGAGTCTAACTTCTTATTGCTCTAGTGTTACTTAAGGTCAGAATTCAGAGGTACTTTTACAGTCCCCTGAAAGGCTGTCTTGCAAATAATCATCCTTGCTTTGCAACTGTGCCAAGCACTTGACATTACGTGAGAAGCATATTGGAGCTAGATAAACTGAAAACAGGTAAGATAAACTAGAGACAGACTCTTGAGGTAGCTGGTGGCTCCAAGCCTATGCCAACTCCTTCCACACATGGAATTTGCTTTCATCTGCTGCTGCTGTTCTATACTGACCCTCACCCTCTCTTCTTTACAGCTTTTGCAGACGGGCAGACTGGTAAGTTTGTGCTTCCCTTTTCTACAAAGTGTTACTTCCTTACAACAGAATGCTTTGTTTACATTGTAAGGAAATGTCTGTTTTACCAAGGATCAGGCTTGGGTTCAGATTGATCAGTTTTCTCACAATGGGCCCTGGAGTATAATCCTTGGTAAGATTACAACTGGATTCTCCAAAGCTGGAAAGGGAAGAGACTAGGGCAGCACACACATTTTTTTTTTTTAACGGTTTAGAGATTGGACCTAGGACCTGAGAGTGCCACACAAGCCTCTGACATCACGTTACAAGCCTATTAAAATTTATTTTGGATAGACTTAAGTTGCCCACAGTGATCTGGAACTAATTATATATCACAGTCAGATCTTAAATGCTCCACCCTTCCCCTTGCTGGATTCTAGCTGTGAGTCATTATCCTCAGACCTTTAACTGGTCTGCGATGGGGACTCTCTGGCCCCTTGTTCCCCTTTGGAATGCACAGTCCCTCAAAGTTGAGTTGCTCGTATCTTCTCTCACTCTCAGCAGATCTTCCAAAGTCTGTGGTGAAACTTGAGCCCCCATGGATCCAGGTGCTCAAGGAAGACCTTGTGACGCTGACGTGCGAAGGGACCCACAACCCTGGGAACTCTTCTACCCAGTGGTTCCACAACGGGAGCCCCATCCCGAGCCAGGTCCAAGCCAGCTATACGTTTAAGGCCACAGTCAATGACAGCGGAGAATATCGGTGCCAAACGGGGCAGACGGACCTCAGCGACCCTGTACATCTGGGAGTGATTTCTGGTTAGTCAAGGCTGGCCCGGGGAGGAGCTGGGATATGAGGACTGGAGAATCTGCTTACAGGGCAGAAGAAAAACGATGGTCTGGTTTCTGGGAAGCAACCCGGAGAGCTTTTCTGAAAGACATCGGTTCTCTCGTTTCTCTTTTCACTTACTCCGTATAATCTTGCGTGGAAAGGACAGCTGTATTGGCCTCAGTCCCAACTGAGCAAAAGATTCAAGGTCACAGAAAGGCTGCTTGCTGTGAGAGAAGCAAAAGGAAGCTCCTGCTTCGTAAACATCAGCTCTGCCAGTGGCAGTGTTGGGGGAGCACAGAGACTCTAGGCAAGTAGACTCTGTAGGACAGGGGTGGCCTCGACAAGACCGAGGAGCAAGGAGTCGCGAGATCTCCAAGGGTGGAACTGAAAGCTGGCAAATGAGGCCAGAGATGAGGGGAAGGGAATCCAGTCAAACGTAGAAGGGAATCCAGTCAAACGTACAGAAGAAGATAGGCTGTGTGATGACTGTTATTCCTAAATGAGATGAAAGCCTACAGAACTTCAAGTTTTAAAAACTTGAAATTTATTTTTTCAATTTGATACATAAAATGTATTTATGGAAGACAACATGCAACCTTTTATTTTGTGTGTATATTGTTTAGTTCTTAAATTGGTTCCGGTTAGGCATACTCAACACTTCAAATGTTTAGTATTTTTTTTCATAGTATAAACACTGAAATTTTATTTTTTTTAAGATTTATTTTATTTATATGAGTACACTGTAGCTGTCTTCAGACACATCGGAAGAGGGCGTGGGATCTTATTACAGATGGTTGTGAGCCACCGTGTGGTTGCTGGGAATTGAACTTTGGAAGACCTTTGGAAGAGCAGTCAGTGCTCTTGATCGCTGAGCCATCTTTCTGGCCAGACACTGAAAATTCTTCTTTCTGGTTTTTGCTTTTGTATATACAGTATGTTATCATTGTTTATAGATACTCCACTATACAACAGCACTTCAAAATGTCTTGCTTGCCCCTATCTGACTATAAATCAGCCTTCCCTATCCCACCCTCCCCTCTTCTCTTCCCAGCCTCTCCTAACTTCCATTCTATTCTCAACTTCAGTAGGATTGAGTGTTTCCAATGCTATAATATGAGTGATAGTACATACTTGTCTTTTTTTTTTTTTTTTTATGAATGAGGCCATTTATTAACCAGCATCCTTTGTTCTAATGCTTCTTGTTGGCAGCTGCCACCTGTCCAGCAATCCTGTCCAGATCTCTCTGTCCCTGAGGTGTTAGCTTGCGGCCCCCATCTTGGTCCTTTTCCACCATTTTCAGCCCCTCCAGGGCTTGGAGGGCCCGGCGGGCCACACTCTTAGAGCCTCTGCTGAAGTGGCTGGGCCTGACACCGATTCTCTGCTGTCCTCCGTAGATCTTGGAGGAGCCAAGCCCTGCACCGCCACGGAGGTACAGGTGCCGCGCTGTGGAAGCAGCTCGTGTGTAGAACCAGTTCTCATCATATGGGGAGAGCGCTTTATGTTTGGCGAGCTTGACTGTGTCCACCCATTCAGGGACTTTAAGCTTCCCGGACTTTTTGAGGAAGGCTGCCAGAGCTCTGACGAACTCCTGCTGGTTAACTCTTTTACAGTAACTCCAGGCATCTAACCCCTCCGGGCTCCCCGAGTGGGGCGATCAGGCATGTCCGGGCCTGCCGCTCGCACGTGGCCGCCCATACTTGTCTTTCTATATCTGGCTTAGCTCAGCTAACATAATGATTTCAGTTCAATCCACATTTTTGCAAATGGGATTCATTCTTATGGCTAGGCAGCATTCCATTGTGTCATCGAGAGGTGGTTTTAACTGACTGAGTCACACGATCTGATTTAGGTTTGTGTAAATATGTGGCAGTTTAATATCGTCTATATTGAAAATGCCCTTGAACACCATTCCTATCCCACTCCAATATCTGGAAATGTGGGATTATAGTTTACTTCAGATATATCTTGGTACATAAGCCCTGATGATGATTCATGGAAGTAGCTAGTGTTTTAGGTTCTCCTGTTTAATACCAAAACAGTGATTAAGACAACAACAGTACTTTAAGGATGGGTATGGTTGTACATGCATCTTATCCCAGCATTCTGGAGGAATAGGCAGGTATGTCTCTGTAAGTTCTAGATCAACCAGGGCTACATAGTGAGAGTGTCTAAAGTAAGATAAAATAAAATGTTTTGTTTTGTTTGTTTGTTTGTTTTTTAGGTTCCAGTGCCAGAGAGGTCCTGGAAGTATAGTCAGTTTCTGTACAGTGCTCTGAGAAATAAATATTGGATTAACTTTAAAAATCTGCCCAATGAAACCATAGCTACACATTTCCTTTCTTTATACCTCACCTGTCCTGAAACAGCCAATGGCTCTTGAAAGGTCACGCGCAGCTTGTACAGATCACAGCAGACTAGACGGTTCCACGAGGGGAGGTTTATTAAGAGGGTGGGAGAGCTGGAGAGAGAGAAGAGTAGAGAAGGTAGAGGCCGGCCATGACCACATGGAGAGAGGGGGAAGAGAAGCGGGAGAGGAGACGGCTGGCCTGGGTTCAGTCTCTGGAACACAGAGGCGGAAGGAGAGCACTACACTTTGACCTCTACATGTGTACCGTAGGCTGTGTGTGCATGATGACCATACATGTGACTCCTACATCAATGAAGGTTGGGAATGGTTATAGGATTTTTTTTTTAAGATTTATTATGTATATAGCATTCTGCCTGCATGTAAGCCTGCAGGCCAGAAGAGGGCACCAGATTTTATTATAGATGGTTATAATCACTATGTGGTTCCTGGGAACTGAACTCAGGACTTCTGGAAGAGCAGACAGTACTCTTAACCTCTGAGCCATCTCTTTAGCCCCCACGATGTTCTTAATGAAGATAGAAAAGTGATTTTAAGTTTTATAATGTTCTGCCTGTGGATTGTTGTCTATACACAGGTGAGGGCAGGCACAAGATAAGGCTAGAGCCTGTGATTGGGCAGTGGAAAAAGAAGGTGGGCTGAGAGTTTTAGGGATGAATACAGAGAGGCAGAAAGGGGACAGAGAGGAGGAGACAAGATGGAACCTATAGGAGAGGAAGAGGAACCAAAACCACGCAGTCCTGGGAGCCATAAGTATTGGGGATTTCTTAGACAGATGATTAAATAATAAGGAGGGTGCATTTGCCCCATCTAGGTGTATAGCTTGTGTTCATATCAACTGAGTTTTGAGTTCTTTGTGTGGACATTTTGTGGGTTGAGAATTTACTGATATAAATCTGATAAATTACAAGCTCTAGAGTTTTGATTTTACCGGGTTATGGCCATTTGTGACAGCTAACCACAGGGGCGGATGGCTGAGAATCTGAACAAGATCCATCACAAGAGAACGGTGAATTGGGGACCGCGAAGATACTCGGGGCGGGGAAGTCGCCATACTAGAACATAGACAGTGCTAGCATGGGTGCCTTTTTTATATTTCATGCAACATCTACCCTTTTTGTTCAGGTTCACAAGAGAACAGGGAATCAAGAAAGATTCTACCGAAAAGCCAGACGTGTTGACATGAACCTTTAATCTTAGCACTTGGGAGGCAGAAACAGGTGGATCTCTGAGTTGGAGGCCAGCCTGGTCTACAGAGTGAATGGGACAGCCAGGGCTACTATAATGAGACCCAACACATCTCAAACCAAACCAAACCAAACCAACCAACCAACCAACCAAACCACCAAACAAACAAACAAACAAACAAACAAACAGATTTTACCCAGTTTACAGGACATGATGGCTCACACCTGTATGTGATAAACTGAGGCAGGAAGCCTGCTGCCAGCCTTAGTTAATATAGTGAGTTCCTGACCAGCCTGAGCTTCAGTGTCACAAACTCCTACATTCCCCAAAAGATCATACACTTCCGGTTTTTTTGTTGGTGGAAGATTCCACTAGGGAGGGTGTGTCATGCTCTCAAATGCTTATATTCCAAGACTGAGATTTTGTAATCTTACCACCAAGGGACGGTATTAGGGGGTGGTCCTGGGAGGAGGTAAGTAGGTAATGAAAGTGGAGTCTATGTGAGGGAGACCTACAAAAGTTCTGTAGGGATGACAATGAAGCTCACTTCTATAAAGTAGGAGGTGAGCCTCATTGGATGTACACACTTCTGGCCTCTCGATTTGGGTTAATTTGAGAAGTAAGTGTGCACTGTTTATAAGCCATTGAGGTTCTGTTTTTGAACATTTGTTTATTAAGATAGAATAACATGGAGCTCAGGTTCCAGGATGACCTTGAACTCCTGATCCCTCTGCTCTGCCTCCCACATTCTGGGATTACAGACATGCCCTATCACATCTGGCTCCTGGCTGCTTAGTTTACAGTACTTTGTCAAAGCAGCCTGAGTAGACCAGGACAGAGGCTCTACTCTCTCAAATACAGCTAGTGACGGCTTACGTCACTTTCTAAGATTTGTTGAAAAATCATATCATTAAATTAGCATTCCTAGACCATAAATACATAATAATAAACTGAAGGCTCCATTCTATAACTCCTACAGTTACTGAAATGAATGTGTGTCCTACATTAAGTATAGTATTTTAAATCCATAAAACTGTTTTAAAGTTGCTTTTAATACCTCATAGATGTAATGGCATGTTGTTCCTGTGTGAGTTGTGTGGCCCTGTATGATAGGCAGTTGCAGAGGCCCTGGTGGTTTTTTTTTTATTTCTTTGTTTGTTTGTTTGTTTGTTTTTTGAGATAGGGTTCATGTGGTCCAGGCTTGAGATATATAGCTGAGGATGGCCTTGAATTTCTGATTGTTTTGCCTCCACCTCTGAGGTGCTGTGATTTTACAACATTCTCTGTCCCTAGGGATTGAACCCAGGCCTTTATACATGAATTCTGCTGAGAGATATCACCAGCACTTGGGTATCTTTTTGTTTGTGTGTTTGTTTTGTTTGTTTGTTTTGTGTTTTGAAACAGTTTCTCTGTGTAGCCTTGGCTGTCCAGGAACCCTTCTGTAGACCAGGCTGGTCTCCAACTCACAGAAATTCACCTGCCTCTGACTCCAGAGGGCTGGGATTAAAGGTGTGTGATACCAACTACCCTTTTGTATTTTACTCTTGGTAAATTTTCTTTTCCTCTTTCAGACTGGCTGCTGCTCCAGACCCCTCAGCTGGTGTTTCTGGAAGGGGAACCCATCATGTTGAGGTGTCACAGCTGGAAGAACAAACAGCTCAACAGGATCTTGTTCTTCCAGAATGGAAAGCCTGTGAGGTTTCATCATCACAGTACTAACTTCTCTATCCCAAAAGCCAACCACAGTCACAGTGGGGACTACTACTGCCAAGGAAGTCTAGGAAGGACCCGGCACACCTCCAAACCTGTCACCATCACTGTCCAAGGTGAGCCACTATGCCTGGCTTTAAAACGCACTACTTTGCTTCAAAACATTCTACTGTCTCATGTCCTAATGCTGGGATTCTGAGATTTGAGGTTGTGTGCTTATCTCTTAAGCTCTAGCTTGGAACAGCCATGTTGGCCTGGAAATCTTTCACTACTCACAAGGAAACACGACTCTGTTCTTGAGAAATTTTGCATTGTGAAATCCTAATGGTGCCTTTTAGGATTGCAGACTCTTTTGACAGACTAGCATCGGTTGGTGAATATGTCCCAGTCACAGGGCCAGAGGTGGTGGTTGGTTAAGCACTACTGAAGTAGTTTATGGGTTGCTAGTTCAAGGTTTCCCACAGGATGTTTTCTAGCCATGAAACGCCTTTACAGGCTTCCCAGAGAGAAGGGTTCTGACTTCAAACTGAGGTGGAATGGTGCTAGGTCCTTTCCTTTTGTAGTCGCAGAACAATGAAATACATTTTAAGGATTCCTGTGAATGCATTCCTGTAACTCCGGCACTCGCAAGGTTGAGGCAGGAGGATGATAATTACAGGTCAGCCTGGAGACGAAAAGATGGCTTCCATCAAAACTCTTACCAAAAATCCCTGTCTCAAATGGGATGTTTCATGTGGCATTTGCCGAATCTCAGTGTTGGGGTCCAGGAATCACCTCACAAACCACACAAACACTGATCTCAGTCAGACAGAGATAGTTTATTGAGCATATATGCCCTAGAATTGATCAACCGCAGCTATGGTCCAGATTGACGAACTGATCCATGATCCAAGTTAAGATCCCATAGGAATTTTAAGCCCCAAATCCACAAACATCTGCATCAAGTTATTCCCCCAGCAGGATTTAGGGATAGGGGATTTCCTTAGGAACATGTTTATGTGGTATACTTATCCTGTTTCCATTGGTTGGGGTATTCAACTGTGGCAGGGGACTTGCTTTGTCTAACAGTCATGTCTTAACTTGATAACCAGGATGTCAGTTACCTACATATATGTCTCTTTTCTGCAAAGTAGGGTGTCAGTTCCCAGGGAGATCTTGGGAATTTAAACTTTACTTGATTACTACTCAAAATGGAAGTCTTAGTCCAAATAGTTTTTTGGTGCAGGTGTCTCTCTGTAGTCCATCCTTATAAAAGCAAATACAATAAAAGCTTGTGCATAGGTGCAGGAAGTGCTGTTGGGTGGTTGGTTTGGGTTCAAGCTTATTGTGGGTAACTATACAAGACAGTTCTACTGTTGTTTACTGTAATTCGTTTCCAAGAGCACAGAACATGACAATATGTAATCAATTTTGGGATTAGAAAGTTTTCTAGTAACAGCAGAGACATGAGAAAGTTTCCTCATAATGGCAAGCTAGCCAGTTTAACATTCAATCTAGGCCTTAATATTAAATCTAGGCCCTAACACCCAGTGACCACAAAGTCTTTGTCTCCCATAATTTCAGACAGATATGGCCATGCCCTTTAGTAAATGCAGATTTAGCAACATATTGGAGAAGGCTAAGAGAGGAAAAGTCTACTAAAAGCCAGGCCTGGTGGTGCAAGCCTTTAATCTCAGCGCTCCAGGAGCAGATGCTGGCAGATCTCTGAATTTGAGGCCAGCCTAGCCTATAAAGTGAGTCCAGGACAACCCTAGGGCTCTGTTACGTAGAGAAACCACATCTCAAAAAACCCAACCAACCAATCAACCAACCAACCAAACAAACAAACAAGAAGTCTATTGAAGGCTTCCTGACTTACCATCTGCTCTTGTCTGTACTTTAAGTACTTGGTGCGAGTCACTTTATAAAGGCTCTGCACTAGAGACCTCACCATTTATTCTGAATTTCTGTCTTAATGGCTCATTTCTTCCAATTCTTCCTGCTCTCCTACCAGGTCCAGCAACTAAAAACCCCGTCTCTCTAGTCTGGTACCATGTGGCTTTCTCCCTAGTGATGTGCCTCCTGTTTGCAGTGGACACGGGCCTTTATTTCTATGTACGGAGAAATCTTCAACCGTCGGGGGAGTACTGGAGGAAATCCCTGTCAATCAGAAAGCACCAGGCTCCTCAGGACAAGTGACATCCCATCGAATGGTGAAACAGCAGTGGCAACAGCATCTTTTCTGCCGCATTGCGGCATCTTCTACAGCCTTCCCTTGAAAACAACTTACAATCAGGCCAGATACTTGGTCCTGCGATCACAACTACTTAGGAGGCTGGGCAGAAGGATCAGCAGTTCAAGGCCTGCCTGTGTTATGTAGAGAGAGTGAGTGCGAGTCTAGCCTGGATAACCCAGTGAGATCCTGGGTTTAGGTGGCTCATCAGGAAACAGCCTGTTGCTAAGCTCGAAAACAAGACCAGAGTTTGATCCCTGCTACCCATATGGCAAAAGGAGAGAACAAATTCCTGACAGCTGTCCTCTGACCCCACACTCCCACCATGGCGGGTGCACACAATAAATAAACTAAAATGTAATATATATTTTTAAACAAGAGGCAGGGGCAGGCTGCAAGAGGGGGCTTGGTGGCAGAGCTGTTATCCAGTACACATGATGCCTGGGTTTAACCTGTAATAAAACAGAAATCAATGTGGGCTAAGGATCCCCCTTTGGTGACTTCTTTGTTCAAAATAATTTAAGAGCTTTTCCTTGTACCCAGAAGGAAACCTAGTGACTTTGCAGTGTTCTCCAAGGTGACACCACATGACCTTGTCTGTCTGATCTCATTTCCTTCTGCTTTTCTTTGCTTGTTTTTGCTCATTTTTGCTCTTCCTAGAACACAACAGCTATACTTCTATAGACCGTCATTTTCTGTTTCAGGGACGTTCTTGCTTACAGGTTCCCATATCCTGTTTCATGTTGCCTTTGTTTAAATATGACTCATTCCAACAAAACTCATACTAAGGTCTGAGCCTCAGGGGCAGTGCTGCTAGGTGGTAGAGACCAGTGGGAGGCATTCAGACCCTAAGGGATGAGCTTATGCCTCCACAGATGCTGTTTAGGAGGAATGGCTTAGCCATCTTGCAGCTTAGCTGCTTTCTCTCTCACAAGCGCCTGTACTTGCTGTACTTTTCTGCCCTGTAAAGAGCAACGCAAAGTCTTCATTAGAAGCCAAGCAAATGTGGCCATATGAACTCGGTATCTATAACTGTGAACTAAATAACCCTCCTCACTCTTACTAAAGTAGCTAGTCTCCTACACTTCACGAGAGCAACAGAAAACAGACTCGATGATGTCCTTTAGTTTTTATTCAAGGGTTATCAGTAAGTGCTCTTGTTATGCCCAGGTCTCCAGATTCCCAGAAGAGCTCTAAGAATTGCTGACCCCATGCAGTGAGACAAAGGAGTCTTTAATATACAAACCTGGCTCAAATCGCATTGCACTGGGTAGGATTTCTACCACACATCTAAGGGCTCAGGATTTTTATACACAGGCAGATTCTGGGGCTTCAGGGTTAGGTGACAGGGAAGGTGATAAGGGAGGTCGTCTCTCAAACACAATACCGTTTGTTAAGGCAGCGGGTGGGGTCGCACAATTGGGGAGGAAGCTCTTTCGGCTTTTATGGTGCTATCAGAGACTAGTGTTTGTACAAACTGGCCATAGCTGTCTGGGAACGCTTAATTGCCCCAAAGTATAGAGCTTATCTCTCCAAGGGTGTTTGGTCTTTTGTTTTTCCCAAGAACAGTGGCCACCTGCACTGGGAAGTGCTTAGCCATCCATCAGAGAGGGTGCCAGGCGACACCGGGGCTGGGAGTTGTTGCTGTTTATCTGTTCTCAAGCTGGCATTTGCCATTCCCGGAAGGGGGGTTTCATTAGGGAGTGCCACTATGAAGTGGGGATAGCCATATTTCGGCGCCAGGCTGTTCCTCCTCTGAAAGGTCAGGCAGTGGGAAAGAGCAAGCAGGATGAGGGGAAGCTTGTGAGAGTGGCAAGGGGGTGCTGAGGTGAGGGGAAGCTTTATGAGTGGCGAGAGTGTGGGGGCTGGCTGCCCAGCCTCTTCATTCTTTGATTATTCAGTAGTTTAATCTTATTTCTCTACCACACTCCTAAATCTCCTGAGGTGGACATTTCTGATTTCACTGGGGACTCAGTTGTGTCATGTGATACTTTTTCTGGAGACTGTCTGATGAGAGGATGTTTTGCTGAGAACAGACACGTGGTGGGTTCCTGGAAGCTGTCTTGTGAGAGGGCATGTGATGTTTTGTTGGAGTGGACTCTTGAGGAGACATATGATGTTTAGAAAGACTATAAAGCTAACCCCACAGACAGTGAGAGAGAGGAGGCATGGATTTGCCTTGCAAGACTTGACTGGTCTTTGCTGATATTTGCTAGCGTGACTAGAGTGACTTAGCATAGAGAGAAGCGAGCCTCCGGGTATTCCAGCAAGCTTCTGTACACTAGTGGCGACAAGCGTAGGCTTGTGGTTTCTTCTGGATTGAGTTGCTGCTACTGATGTGTGTTTGGTATTTTCCATTGGACTGATATGTAGAGTGAGATATTTAAAACGCAATCCCTGCTACGCCTGCCAGCACTGCACTGGCAGGCAGACTGGCCTGTTCTCATCTCAGCAGACTCTGATCTGGAGCTCTGAAATCTCTCCACCTGGCTCGCTAAGTTCCCAGGGTTGGTTGCTGCCACGCTAGCCCCAATCTTATAAACCCCACGGCTTTCTGTGGTGTACTTCTTGCAAACCCACACTTTGCTGGCATACCTCAGTTGAGTCTCTGTGTGAAGGAAAACACCACACGTATTTAGTTTAGAATCAACAGGTAACACAATCGCTGGACGCAGAAACTAGCATCCTAACTTGTAAGCCATTCTAAGTTAAATCCTCCGGTAGCAGATCCCAACGGACCCACCGCCTGAACTGGTGATCTCTGCTACCTACATTTCGGCCTCTATGCCCATCTCCTGTCCCCAGCCAAATCCCTCTCCTCTTCCCTTGTCTCTTTCTCTGACCCGGAAGTCCCGCCTACTCTCTCAGTGATTGGTTCCTTGGAATCTTTATTCATTAGGGGAAGGAAGGTTCATTAGAAGTCACCTGAGGCCGGGCTGTGGTGGCGCACACCTTTAATCCCAGCACTTGGGAGGCAGAGGCAGGCGGATTTCTGAGTTCGAGGCCAGCCTGGTCTACAGAGTGAGTTCCAGGACAGCCAGGGCTACACAGAGAAACCCTGTCTCGAAAAAAACAAAAAAACAAAAAAAAAAAAAAAAAAAAAAAAGAAGTCACCTGAGTAGGTGATTCATTCCTCTTCCCAGGCAGCCCCCTCCTGGGGAAGCAGAATTAGCATCAGAATACAAACTGCACCAGAGCTATCCACAACACTGATATTGCCAGTACCGCTTCATTTTTGGAATCTCTCCAGAGAACTACTTCTAACAACTTTTTGTTTTGTTTTTTGTTTTTCAAGATAGGGTTTCTCTGTGTAGCCCTGGCTGTCCTGGAACTCACTCTGTAGACCAGGCTGGCCTCGAACTCAGAAATCCGCCTGCCTCTGCCTCCCAAGTGCTGGGATTACAGGCGTGCACCACCACTGCCTGGCAAAGAACTACTTCTAAACAGGTCCACGGTCCCCCTACCTTTGGTTGGTGGGCTAGAAGGGAGGTTGAAACATTTAAGAACCCTTATTAAAGTAGGTTTTGAAAAATCTAAGCCTACAATCTCCTTTCCTGGTCTATTTTTCTCCTTTGTTTTTATCATCAATCAATGTACTGTTATGTGTAAGGAAAAAATTTTTAATTGGCCAGTATCTTAGAATAACATGGGACCGTGAACTCCCGGGGAAGGGCTACAAGGCAGGACATACCAATTATTTCGGAAAACTGCAGCTGTGTGTGTGTCAATAAGAGAGTGCGCTCTTGCCTGGAACATCCTGACTCCTCAGTTTCCCAGCTATGTGCTATGTGGGAAATTTAATAAAGAGCGTCCTGCCTAAGAAGTCCCTATTCTCCAGCCCCCCTCCCAGCCTGTGGCTTTTGTCTTTATAAGTCTGTGTATTTTGATGTTCCAGTCTCACACTCTCTCCTTCCCTCTTGCGGAGGTACAAGATTGAGTCCCAGCATGCTGGTTCCTAGTAAAAGCCTCTTGCTTTGATTGCACCAAGTCTTTAATCTCAGCACTCAGGAAGGCAGAGGCAGGTGAATCTCTGAAAGTTCAAGGCCAGCCTGGTCTACATAGTGGATGTTAGGGCTGCACAGATAAAAACAAAACAAAAACAAAGAGGACCAAAAAACAAACCAAGACAAAAAGCCCCCCAAAACAAACAAGCAAGCAAGCAAACAAACAAAAAAAGGTGGTCCAATCTCATTTTAAGACAAGTGTGCCTCAGATGAAATCACTTAATCACGGACATATGGCTAGTGGGTGTGACCGACTTTTATAGTGTGGGGTCACACTATAAAACATAGTGTAGAGCTTGACTTTATTTTGTGCTTAGTGTTGGGTCATTGGTGTCCCTTCAGTTCACAGTGATGGAGTACTTTAAGATACCCCACCCCAATTGGATTATTACCTTTCTGGGAAGAAAATAACTATTTACAGAGGGGAGTTCTAGTGTCTGCCTTTGCAAATTAGAAGTTTCAGCTAGTGCTGGAGGCACGGCCTGTAATGCCAGTGTTGGGCAGCTAGCCACGCATTAACAGAGCTGGATGCCATGGAGAATGGACCCCTCTGGTAATCGGTTTTGGACCTCACCCCTCGTTTACTGTATGTAGAGAGGGAGGCATTAGGGCTTGGGTGAAGCCCATTAAAGGAAAGTTATTTCCTCTAGATCGAAAAAATAAAATTAGAAGCAGATGCTTAGAGTTTCACTGCTAAACCTAGTCTTTTGCGAGTTCTAATTCAAGAGCATTCCTCTTCCTTTGTTTTGTTTTGTTTTGTTTTGTTTTGTTTTGTTTTGTTTTGAGAGAGGGTCTCTCTACACACCCCAGACTGTCCTAGAACTCACTGTGTAGACCAGGCTGGCCTACTAACTCACAGAGATCCACCTGCCTCTGCCTCTTAAGTGCTGGGATTAAAGGCTTTATTCCCCTTTCTGTCTTCTCTTTAGATGCTGACCAGAGTCCCAAGTGTGCTGGCCCTTGACGCTGTGTTTCTTACTGTTTTCTTGAACACACACAAACACACACACACACACACCTGCTTGCAGACCTCCACTGCTGACCTGAAAAGGCATGCCTTTCTCTTCTCCCTCCTGGCAGCTTCTGGGGTTTGCACTGGGCCCACTCTGTGGTTTCCTCTCACATTCTAATAAAATGGGTCTCCTTGTGAGATTGCCTTTAGGTTATTTACCGATGAGACTGAGAACTTGCGAAAGGGAACTCTGATTCCCTGGTAATATGCTGAGACACCAGGAGTTAGTCAGACTCCCTTGTTGGTATACAGACAAGGAGAAAGACCATGGCAAGATAATAAAGGTGACGAATTTCGAATTTCGAATATGGCTAGCTTCTGCCTCACCCTCTTGCCTTGGGACAAAAGCCTGACAGCTTAAAACAATGGCTTTGTAGGCCTTTGTTTCACCCAGCAGCCCCTGCTGATGAACTGACTCAGGAAGTCCAAGGCCGGCTCAGGACATGTCACAGAACAATACTGAGTCAGTCAACCATCCTAGATTTCTTCAAGCTAACCAATCCTAAAGCATCGAAGGAAAACTCTTCAGGGGCTTAAAGCCCCCGCCCCCAAGCCTTGAGAAAAGACTGGATTTTCTGGCTTTCTGTATCCTCCCCACCCCCCACCTCACCTGTGCTTTGCAGACGCTCATCTCAAGTGTATGTCTGTGTCCTTACCTCCAGTAAATTCCTTTCTCAACTGCAGATCCTGCCTGTGTCTGTCCCCTGCTGAGCTCGATAATTTTATTGCCTTTTAATTCTTTAACCGGCAGAGAAAAGGAACTCAATTAAGACCCCGAGTGGGGGTGGGGGCTCTTTCCCAAGAGGATTTAAAAAAAAATTTGTTTTCAACATCAGGAAGTCAAAATGGAATGTTATGAATTTTAAAAAAAATGGGGCATGATAAAAGACTCAATTTTCAAAATCTCAGACAGTGGGAAGTAATGCAGTCTCATTGCTTTATGAGCCCACCTTAGCCTTAAGGACAGTGAATTGCAACTCCTTTGTGTGTGTGTGTGTGGGGGGGGTCAAAGAACTTTCACAGGGGTCGCATATCAGATATTTTGCATATCAGACATTTAAAATACGATTCAGTAACAAAATTACAATTATGAAGTAGCAAAGAAAATAATTTTATGGTTGGGGGTCACTAGAACCTGAGGAACTGTGTTAAAGGGTCGCAGCGTTTGAAGGTTGAGAACTACTGCTTTAGGACATAATCGGCTGATGCTACACTAATATATTCTTTACCTGAATCATGGGGTCATTTGCACTCGAGAAAAAAACGAGATCACAGAGAAAAAAACACAAAGTCTTTCCAAAACGTTCTGGGGACGATGCTTCTTTGGGAGAGGAACTTTATAGGCTTAGTCTCAAAACAGGAGTGAAATTCGGGCTCTCTCATGTGCAACATTCTCTTAAGGGTCGGTCGGCTAGATTGTTTCCGAATTCTACAGCCACAGCGTTAAGTTTGACTTTCTTAAAGGTAAACTGGTAAAAGAATAAGAACAAAATCGATGGAACCCTGAGTTTCGGGGGGCGGAGTAGGCTGGAGAAAGAACCGGGGTCAAGCCTCTAAAAAAGAAAGTTAAAAAACAGACAGAAAACATACATTCACAGAGAAAATATAGCGTGCATTGGCCGGGAATCGAACCCGGGCCTCCCGCGTGGCAGGCGAGAATTCTACCACTGAACCACCAATGCTAAGCAAACTTGACTCTTGCAGCATTCCTATTCTAGTTGATCTCTATTACTAGTTGTACTTCATATGTAATCTTTCTCTTTGCATCAGTTTCGAAAAGCCGAGCCTCGTGTTTCAAGGATTCATTCTTTCAAAACAAGTCCCCCCGCCCCAACTATTTCCATTTCTAGCTTAAAAGCTATGGATCTGTTTGCGTGACAGCATGCGCCGGGCTTCCTGCGGCAAACGGGCCTCGGGTTGCGCGTGCGCAAAATTGCTGTCCGAACAGTACCTGAAGAACTTGTCCCCAGTGTTGCTACCTTGACTTGAGGCTGTCACCACTTTGCACCTATAGAACTATACAAGAAGAGCTGGAACTTTCTGTGTGGTTCTTTACAGCAGCTCTTAGTTTAAACGAGGGATGGGCGCACCACTCTGCACTCCACCTCTCTGGATCGCTAGGTCCGAATCTTCTGCCAGAGTCAGCACGGTCGTCGTCGAAGCCGAGTCAGAGGGTTCGGGTGGGTGAGGAAGGCTTGGAATGCTCTCTTGGGCGAGGGCAGGAGGAGGCGGGACTCCACAACCGAATTAAAAAAGAAAAACCCACGACCCCGAACCAGGACAACAGCGCTGAGCAGCTCCAGCTCCCGCCACCTCGAGCATCTGAATCTTCTTCCGATGTGAGAGCCAGAAGCCATAGTCACGTCTGCCCCTAGGGAAGTGACTTTCCGCCTCGATCTGGGCACGGCGACCTCGTGCCTGGGAGTGTTCCTGCAGAGCTGGGTGGAGATCCTTGCCAATGACCAGGGCAACCGCACCAGGCCAGCTACGTGGTCTTCACCGACATCCTGAACGCGCTCCACACGGTGTTCGACACCAAAACGCTGATAAGCTGCAAGTTCACAGAAGCGACTGTGCAGCCAGAGAAGAAACACTGGCTCGTTTGGGTGGCGAGCGATGGCGGTAAGCCCAAAGTGCAAGTGTTCTAAGGCCGGTGAGGTAGTGGCGCTCATGGTGCCTGCTACTTCAACGACTCGCAGCGCCAGGCGACCAAAGACGGGGTGGGGTGGAGTGGCATCATGAGACGTGCTTAGGATCATTAAAGAGCCTACTGCAGTCGCCATCACCTACCATCTGGACCAGCCGAGTGCTGGAGAGAGCAACATGCTCAGTGTTTTGTTTGGTTTTTGGTTTTGTTTTTTACTCATTTGTTTTGCTTTTGTTTTTGTTTTTATCTGAGTAGCGGCACTTTCAATGTCTGTCAGACCTAACTATTCACGCTGGCGTCTTCGAGGTGAAGGCCACAGCTGGAGATGCTCACTCATCTAGGTGGAGGGGACTTACCCAACCAGATGCTGACCGATTGGATGGAAGAGTTCTGGGGCAAGCATGGGAAAGATGGGAACGGAAACAAGACGACACTTCGCAGATTATGCACTGCCTGTGAGCGAGCCAAACGCTTGCTGTCCTCCAGCACCCAGTCTACCTTGGGGACTAACACCTTGTTCCAAGGTGTGGGCGTCTACACGTCCGTTAGTCGTGCCCACTTTGAGGAACTGTGCTCAGACCTTTTCTGCAGTCCCCTGGAGCCTGCAGAGAAGGCCCTGAGTGATGCCAAACCGACCAAGGCCCATTTAAATCCACGAGGTCATCCTGGTGGATGGTTCTACCTGTATCTCTAAGGTGCAGAAGCATCTATAAGCCTTCTTCAGCAGCAAGGAGCTGAACAAGAACATCGACCCTGAAGAGGCTGTGGCTCATGGGGCTGCAGTGTAGATGGCTGTGTTGATGGAAGACAAGTGTGAGAAGATACAGAATCTCCTCCTGCTGAGTGTGGCACCCCTGTCCCTGGAGCTGGAGACAGTGATGACCACATTGATCCGGTGGAATGTCACCATCCCTACTAAACAGACCCAAGCCTTCCCTGCTTACTCAGACAACCAACCTGGATTCCAGGCATATGAGAAAGAGAGGGCTGTGACAAAGGACGACAACCTGCCGGGCAGCTTCGAGTTCAGTGGTATTCTCCCTGCCCCACATGCAGTCCCTTGGATGGAAGTCATTTTGACATAGATGCCAGTGTCTGAGTCGACACTGACTGGAGTACAGGCAAGGCTAACAAGAGTACCGTCACCAATGACAAAAGCCAGCTCAGCAAGGGGGAGATGGAGAGGATGGTTCTAGAGGTGTACAGTGCAAGGCTAAGGATGAGGGCCAGATGGTCAGAGTGGCTGCCGACAATTCCTTGGAAGTCCAGATTATCCGAATGAAGAGTTCCTTGCAGGGAGATAGCCTTAGGGAAAAGACGCCCTGGCCCGGCTAGAACACAACCAGTTAGCTGACCAGGAGTGTGAACATCAGAGGAGGGCGCTGCCACAAATGTGCTGCCCCATCTTCTCTAGGTTTTAGCGGGGGTAGGGGGTGGGAGAGTTGAGTGGGAGGGAGGGATGGGGGTGGAGATAGGACAATGGAGTGGGAGGGAGGGGGGAGGGAGGGGTGGGGTTGGGGGGTAGGGATTTCCCAGCAGTTGTCCTGCACACGCTTGTCAGGAGAGGCCCGGTAGGAGCCCCATTGCTGAGGAAATCGAATGCCCCGCTATGATGAGTCACCTGTGTCACAAGGGCTGGATTTATGGACCTCTTAGACTCTTTTATAATCCCACCTTATAACTGCAGAGGTGAGTGGGGGTACTTTGCCCTGGAAGCTGGGATATTTTTTCTCATTATGTTTTATAATTGAGGTCTGTGTTAATTGATTTTTTAAAAAGTCTACTCTTTGCTGATGGTGAATGCCTTTAATTCCTGCCCTCAGGAGGCTAAGGCATGAGGATCTCTGAGTTCGAGGGCAGCTTGGTTTACAGAGCAAGTTCCAGGACAGCCAGGACTATGTAGAGGGCCACTATCTCGACAAACAAACAAGCAAACAGGCAAACAGACAAACAAACAAGCAAGTAAGCAAGTAAACAAACAAACAAACAAACAAATCCACGTCTCTCGCTTTTAAAAGTAAAAACTAGAGGCTTGGAGTGATGGCTCAGAGATTAAGAGTACCGGCTATTCTTCCGGAGGTCCTGGGTTCAATTCCCAGGAACCATATGGTGGCACATAACCATCTATAATGAGATCTGGCGCCCTCTTCTGGCCTGTAGGCATACATGCAGGTAGAAGGCTGTATACATACTCAATAAATGACCCCCCCCCCAAAAAAAACAACCAAACAAAAACAAAACAGAAAAAGCAAAAGCTATTTGCGTGGCACTCCGTCACTGCCTTCATCTGTTTTTCATGTATTTTGTAGCTGCTTTGTTACATGCAACACAGTAGATCTAGGTAAACTTAAAATCCCCATCTTGTTTTTACTCCAACAAGTCTATATACAACATCTTTCTTTAAAATCAATTATTTTTCTTATGTGCATTAGTGTCTTATGTATGTATGTATGTATGTATGTATGTATGTATGTATGTATGTATGTGTGAGGGTGCCAGGTATTGGAGTTACAGACAGTTGTGAGCTGCCATGTGGGTACTAGGAATTAAACCTGGGTCCTCTGGAAGAGTAGTCCTTGCTCTCAACAACTCTTCAGCCCCTAATTTGTATTTTTTAAAAAATTCACTTGTATTATTTTTAATTGTGTGTGGGTATTTGTGTGTGGGTATGTGCATACGAGTGCCGGTGCCTTTGGAGGCCAGGGGTCTGGGATCCCCCTGGTGGTGGAGTTACAGGCTCTTGTAATTGTGAGTCACCTGATGTGGGTGCTGAGACCCAAACTCAGGTCCTCTGGACTATTCACTCTTTTTTTCTTTCTTTTTTTTTTTTTTTTTGGTTTTTCAAGACAGGGTTTCTCTGTGTAGTTCTGGCTGTCCTGGAACTCACTCTGTAGACCAGGCTGGCCTCGAACTCAGAAATTCGCCTGCCTCTGCCTCCCAAGTGCTGGGATTAAAGGCGTGTGCCACCACTGCCCAGCTGGACTATTCACTCTTAACTACACCATCTCTCCAGCCCCTAAAGTAATTTTTAAAGAACAGTTTTTATAGAACGCAATGGGCTGGAGAGATGAATCAGTGGTTAAGAGTACTTGCTGCTCATGCAGGGGACCCAGATTTGAATCAGAGCAAACTAAATCACCATAGATACCCATTACTAAGAAATCAAATACTACTGTTGGTAGTTTCTTACCCAAGTCCCAGTTCCTGAGTAGAATTGGCAATTACTTTCAAGTCTTTTCTTTTCAGTAATTTTAGACTAATAGAGGGCTTGCAAAGATAATATGGAAAATTACTGCATGTCCGCCAGCCAGCTTCCTAATGGTAAGATGTTAACACTACACTTATCAAACTTCGGAAAATGTCATTGGATAACTGTTACTAAGTAAGCTGTTGACTTTACTCATCATCTTCCCACTGGTGCTTCCCTTTTCTGTTTCAGAAGTCAATGCTGGATTTCATATTGCACTGACTTATCATGCCTCCTGAATTCTATATACCCTGTGACAGTTTCATAGTCTCGTTTTTCGTGATCTTAACATTTTAAAAGACAAATCAGGTATTTTATAAATGGTCTCTTGATTTTCATTTGTCTGATTTATTTGTGCTTATGTGCTTTTGTGAGCATCAGCCTGAGGAGCCAGAAGAGGGTACTGTTGGATCCATCGAGCTGCTGGTGATATGTCGGGTGTGGGCTGTCGGATGTGGGTACCCCACAGCAACCAGACTCGGATCCTCTGGAACGGTAGCCAGGACTCTGAGCTGCTGAGCCACGTCTGTCGCTCTCATTTGTCTGATTTAAACATATATTTTTATTAACTTTGCTCTTTTATAGGACATGTCAACACTCAAGAAGCAGAGGAGAGGATTCCTGTGGTTTTGAGCCCAGCCTAGTCTACCTAACAAGTTCTAGGCCAGCCAGAGCTATAGAGTGAGATTCTGTTTATAAATAAACAAACAAATAAATAAAAAAATTCTTGGGCAATTTCACATTCATATAGAGTAGATTTTGATTATTGCCACCCACATGGTCTTTTATTTTCTTTTAAGACATCTTTTATTTATCTTCTGAGGATTTTATACATGTACAATCTGTACCTTTATTCTATTCCTTCGGAAGACTCCCTTCCTGCTACCTTCAACAGCCTCGACACACATCCCCCTCCAATCCTCATGCTGCCTCTTCTTGTTTTCCTTCTCCCTGAGTCCGGTTAGGACAGTCTGCTCGAACGTTGACTGACTGTGTTGGCTTATCTTGTTCAGGTAACCATTGTGAGGTCATGTCCAACAGCATGTCCAGAAGACAGTGTTTTGCAGCACTCTTCGTTTTCTGCTCCCTATTCTCCAGCCCTTACCTTCTGCCCTCTCCCTGTTCCTTAGTGTTCCCTGAATCTTGAGAGGCTGATCTAGATATTTCTTTTTAGGGCTGAACATTCAACAGTTACATATTTTTAGCATTTTGATCATTTTGAGTCTCTGTGTTAACTATTGTGGCCCATTAAAGAAAGAAGCGTCTCTGGCCAAAGCCGATAGTTCTTGTCTATGTTTATTAAATATTTAGAAGGCGTTTGATATGTCCACTTAGTAATCAACAGTAGCAGACCCTCTTAAGGCCTGTGACCCTTAAGTCCACGGGCTTTAAACAGCTTTACAGTACTAGTAATGACTTTCCCGTGGAGCAGTCCTGACCTCTAACCTAAAGGTAGCTGGTCACCCACACTTTTGGTCATGCCACGATTGTACAGTGGGCACATCTCTTTCTTTTTTTGAAACAAAACCCATTTTAAGTGTATATGCATGTGCATCTGTGTGTCCTTGTGGCCTTAATAACAGCTCCTCACAATATGAAAGCTAGCCAGCAAGGAGGACATTTCTGTCATTTCAAGATTGATTTTTCTATGTCCCAGCGTGATAGCATATTGTGCCTTCAGCAATGGAGTCTCACCATACAGCGTGGTGGGGAACCAATGACAATAGCCTCTGGACCTCCCTGACTAGTAATTCACACAGACAGAGTCTACCCCCAACACTGAGGTTCTCACTTGATAGCACATGTCTTCTCCAACCATTACATTATAGTGCTGGATGCGATCAGACGTGATGCTGCTTTTAATGCTTGCCTCATTTCCCTCTTAAGAATTTTCAGACATGTCTAACTTCTTACATATCTCTCCTAAGAGTGCATCATGGTTTTCTTTTGTTTGGATACAGTAACTTTGTATGCCTTTTCTTAAGTGTAGTGCCTGACATATTTTAAATGCTTAAATGACACAGAGTAAAAGATTGTCTCTTGAGAAGCCAGAGAGAGAGCACACTTCTACATCAGCAGTGTCCTGTGAAGAGGATAGATAGACTAGCCATTCTGAAACTTTAACATTCCACTTACCTGGGGATCCTGTAAGAGGCAAGCAAGCAGGCCTGAGACAGAACCTGAATTCTGAATGTCTAACGAGTAGGCTATCTCATTTCATCAATTCTTATATCCATTTATCTAGGAAGAAAATTAAGACTCAGAGCAAATGCTTTTCCAAGAGTCATAGTCTAGTTGGTTAAAGACAGGGAATAGAGCAGTGTCTGACAAACTTTAATTAACTGATCTAAAGCTCTTTCCATCTTCACAGTTATGGTCAACTTAACAGCGGTCCTTCTTGTCAAAAAGACAATCCCTCCGCCCCCTTTTCCCCCCCCCCACCCCCACCCCCGTCCCCAACAAAGCTTCTCTTAAACCAGAAAGTGTTTCCTTTGTGATCTTCTAGAAAAAGGGTGCCATGAAGTGTTAAGTTTTTTGGTTCGGCTATATGAAATAGCACATTCATATAAATAGGAAATCTACTTACTTAGAATTTGTGGGGTTAGACGAGGCAATAGAGAACCTCATGCTTTACAGACGTTTGCTAGCATTGCTTCAACATTGAAAGAGTTGGGATAATTTTAAGAAATTAAGAGATCCTGGGTTGAGAAATTCTTTTTTAACTTTCTTTTTTCCAAAAGATACCATAAACACCAGTGTTCAGTTATGATGGGGAAAAAAAAACCATTTGTCAGAAGTGGGATTCGAACCCACGCCTCCAGGGGAGACTGCGACCTGAACGCAGCGCCTTAGACCGCTCGGCCATCCTGACACGTGGAAAACTGCTTTCCATACACTTTAATAAGGGTTTTAAACCGATGACGCCACCATCAGTGATTTCTCCAAATAACGCGAACTCGCCAGGAACTCTTTTGCAAAGCAAAACAAGTGAAAGTAGCTGACAGATCTTTCCTATCTATTACTTCCGCATCACTTTAAACCTTCCATCATCCATCTCTTCTGGAACCTTTCGGTTTCCTTTCCATCAGAGGGGCCGAGTCAGGCCGCCGAGGGTCTCTTACCGGTCAGTTCTGCTCCCTACAGGTCGTCCTAAGTCCCTAACGGAACCGGTGC